TTCTTCTCCAGGTCTGCACCTGTCCCCCACGGCCCAGCTGTCCTCCAGGAAAGTTTTGTTTTTTTTTTTTGAGATGGAGTCTCACTCTGTTGCCCAGGCTAGAGTGCCGTGGCATCAGCCTAGCTCACAGCAACCCCAAATTCCTGGGCTCAAGTGATCCTCCTGCCTCAGCCTCCCGAGTAGCTGGGACTACAGGCATGTGCCGCCATACCCGGCTAATTTTTTCTATATATTAATTGGCCAATGAATTTCTTTCTATTTTTAGTAGAGACGGGGTCTCGCTCTTGCTCAGGCTGGTTTCAAACTCCTGATCTCGAGTGATCCTCCCGCCTCAGCCTCCCAGAGTGCTAGGATTGCAGGCATTAGCCACCGTGTCCGGCCCTCCAGGAAAGTTTTGGGCCCCAGAATGCAGGTGGCTGAGCCCAAGAGGATCTGGAACAACATGTGTGCACCCGGGGCGGGCCCTGATAGCCTTGGAATGCTGGCTGCAGTTTCCTTTCTGAGAGAGCATGGAGGGCAGGATTGCATGGCCTCGTGGAGGGGTGGCATTTATGCCCCGGAGACTCGGAACCACTCGATAACTGCTGAGTGCTTAAAAAAAAAAAATTTTTAACACATTAATTCACCAGCCATGGAACTTGTGAATGGTCGACCTAAGGGTTTGGGATGTTGGTGGCATGAAGTTCTTTCTGTGTCCTCGGTGTCCCTGCTGCACCACCTTGGGGGCTGGTCAGCTTTGACCCACTTCCCAGAGAGGAAGATGTGTCGCCCCGCAACGTTCACACCCTGCTGATGCAGCGGCAGGTGTCTGCGGGACATCAGGTCAGGGTGGGGGACCTGCAGGGTCACTCGGGTATTTTTCACCCTGTGGCCTTGGCCTCATTAGCTCACATTCTAATCCACCCACCCACTGGCCCCGGACTAGGACGATCCACATGGCAGTTTCTGGTGTCTGACAGTCCAGCCATTGGAACGTGCTATTTATTGGCAACCAAAGCTCATGAGACGTGCAGTCCATGCACAGCAACCAAAGCTCATGAGACGTGCAGTCTCATGGTGCCTGGAGGTGCCCTGAGCTTCTGATTCAGGCAGGATTCGATTACGCAGAGCGTCGCCTTTGTGCGGGGCCTTTCGGAACGTGTTCCCGCGCTGTGGGGCTGCACAGCCCCGTGTGAGCTGACCAGAGTGCACCTGGCCTGGGACAGGGAGACCCGGGTCCTCGGCTTGGTTCAGCCACTCAGTCACTGTCTCTCTTTGGGTCTCAGTGCCCTCATCTGCACATTGGAATTTAACACACTGTGCTCTGCCTGTCTCACTAGAATGGAGTAAAGATCAAAACAGAGAATGAGTCTCCAAAAGCTTTGAAAGGGAAAGGGGTCATCGCATGGCCCCTCGAATGCAAAGGCAATCGTCGTCGTTAATTACGTCTGTTCACTCCTTTTCCCAGCCGTGCTGGGCAGCAGAAAGCACCGCCTCCTAAGAAGAGATGCCCAAAGAACGCTTGGTCTCCAGTGGGAGAACAGGGCCCCGGGCCAGGCGAGGTGCAAAGGGGACAGGAGGAAATGGCTTCGAGGCTCAGGGGCAGATGGACTCGGGGGCAGCTTGGACGTGGGGTCTGCGAGACTCGGCCTCTAGGACCGCAAGACCTTTTCTGTGCCACGGTCCAGGCTTCCAGCCGCCCCTGGTGCCGCCCCCCCCAGTTTGGCCTTGCCCTTCTGTTCCTGGCCCCTCTTGCTCTCTGGACGGTGCCCTCAGGGGCCAGAAGGGCCTGTGACCCTCTTGGCCAGGGACGGCAGAATCAAGACTTTGCAGCCCTTTGGCAGTCCTACACGCTAAATGCACCCACAGCCCACCTAACATCTAACTTCTTCACTGTTACGATTTCTCAGTGATCACATCATCTCTGGGAGTTTGGGGGAATGGAGACAACTAACGCACAAGTCATTTCTCTGTTTGTGAATAAGAGCTGTGACAACGGTGGCAATGTCATATTGCATTTTGCAGCCCAGTTATGCATGGATGGCTGTGCAGCAGTGATCACGATGTGCAATAGGAACGAGTGAATCCTGCAGACACATTGCTGAGCTGCAGAAGCCAGACACAGAAAGGACCCTCTACGACCTCCCTTTCTGTAAAGTTCAAAACCAGGCAAAATTAACATATGGGGTTAGAAGTCAGGCTAGTAGTTACCCTTGGGCATGGACAGTGACGGGAAGGGTATGAGGAAGGTTCTGGGATGACATTGTTCTGTGTCTCCAGCTGGGTGCTGTTTGGTTTGGGTGTGCAGGTTCACAGAGCTGCACGCGTGTGGAATTATGCATGTGTCTGCGTGCATGCTACATTTTAATGAAATTAAAATAAAAATGTGAACATTTATTGATTTTGAATGTGTAATATGATCTCACATTTTGGAGCCAATACATACTTTTCAGGTCTCAAAACAGTCGGATCTCAAAACTATTTAGCAGTCTGGGCCATAGACAGGCCATCTTCCCCCACTGGGCTGTGGCACAGCTCTGCCACCCAGGCCGGCCTGCATTTCAAAACTTCAGGATGATCCGGGAGGTCAGGGCCGTGGGCTGGAGCCAAAGGGCTTTGCCTGGCTGGGAAAAGCTCACCTCCAGCCCTCCCCAGAGCACCCTGGCCTCCTCCACCCCGCTGGCCTGCACACCATCACTTGGAATTTACCATGCGTGTCCCAGAAGGTCTGGTCCCTCGTGAACCTCTTTTGTGAGCCTCTAGCACTTGATGTAGCACCCAGGCAGAACAGGCATTCAATCAACACACGCTCCATGCACTTCACTCTTGAAGTCCTCTTTGCTGCAGAGACCCGCCTGGATGGGTTCGCGCTCGGGTGGCTTCTCCAAGTACAAACTGAGTGGCACTGGAGATGCCTGCTCCCTCCCCAAGCCTCACTCTAATTATTTGTGCCATTAGGATAGGAATCCCAGGGTCACCGAGCTATGGTGAGGCTCAGACAGGCCAGCACAGAGCAGGTGCCTACGAGCGGTGTCCCTCTGCCCCCTCTACCCCCGGTGGCATCCTCAATCCCCCTCTGGCACAGAGCCAGTGAGAGGAGATCTTGGAAGCCGATGAGTAGCCCCTTCATTCCTCAACAGCGCCCCAAATAATCCACCACTTGGAAAAGTCAAAGAAACGCTAGCAATTTATTGATTTCCTACATTTCCAAAAGAGTAAATACATAGCGTATCACACGGGAAAACTGGGCCCGGCCAGAGCAAGGCTTTTGTACAAACATGAAGCAAGGGGCGGACGGGCTATAGGGAGGCTCCCCCTACCCCCACCTACCGCTAGCCCCGGCCGTGCCCCTCCCAGCCACCCACCCCCCAGACGAGCCCCGAGGAGGACAGGCAGAGGGAACATCATGCCTCTTGGGTCCCCAGGAGGAGCGTGGAGTCTGGGTTGCTGGTCTGCCCCCCACCCCCGGAGAGGCTGCTGCTGGCCAATAACTGGATTTGTCTTCAGCACGGGACCTCCTGGGGTCAGGGTGGGGACAGAGCCTGTGCCTGTCTTCACTCGGCCTCAAATTGGAACTTCTTGTTTGGGGTGTCGATCCTGGTACGTGAGGTCAACGTGGACTTAAATTATTGAGACCTGCCTCGGAGCCCAGCAAACTCCTTCTCTGGGAGATGCATCCTCAAGCCCTCTTGGTGTCACCTCTCCCAAAGTGACAGGCATGGGTCAGAGGCCTGGGTGACCAGGCCCACCTGGCTGGCCTGAGCGGGCACAAGCGGTTACCGAAGTCAGGCCTGGCCCACCCGCCCTCCTCGGCTCGCCGAGGGTTGAAAAGCTGCCTCTTTCCCAAGGCGGAGGGCTGGGCCCGCCAGGCTCTTCCTCCGGGGGACGAAAATGAGCCAAGAGGTCAGAGTGGTGCTAGGGGGAAGCGGCATCTCCCGGCTGACAGTGGTGTCACGGGTCACCTGCAGTGCGCACAGGCTGGGGCCGGGCGGCAGGTGCCCTGACAGGCTCCTTGTCACGCCCCCAGTGGGTTTCACAGAGAGGAGACGGGAGGGCCGAGTGCCAGGGAAAGGTGGGGACGGACGCTGGCTGCAGTGTGGGCTTGCTGGTGCCCTGAGATGACACTTCCCTGTCCTGGTCTATCCTAATTCTCTTCCTCCAGGGCTCCTGGGACCCCACACCCCCTTGCTGGACTCACAGCAGGTTTGGTGCGGAGCATCTTCCTGGTTAATTTCCACCCCCCACCCCTCCCCTCCCACAGGAAGCCTGAGCAGGTGCATGCCCCACCCCGGCCGGCCCCCTCTCCGCTGGGAACGAAGACGAACGGCCATTCCCTGCACACCTCTTGGCTTCCTTGAGCGCCGTTTCCGCCTCCTCTGTCCCACAACGAGCCGGGCTTTGCCGGCCCCGTCTCTCTGGCTCCTGCTTCCCCCCGCAGACCTCACACAGCAAAGCCAGACAGGAAGCCCTGCTGTCTCTAGAAAACACACCCTGCCACCCCAGTCCTGTGGCACTGCAGGGAGGCGGCCTCATCAGACACACTAAACTTCCCACGCGATGCACCAAACCTCCCTGTCTGCAAAGCAGCCTCTCACGGGGGGCGGGGGGAGGTCAGCCCGGCCTCAGGGCCTCTTCCTGCCGCCCTGGGATGGCTGGCGGGAAGCCCTCGGGCCTCCTGCATGGGGGGGGCTGGCTCACTGGAGCCCCCCACCCTGGCACAGTGCCTTCCAGGACCCACAGGCAGCTCACCAGAAAGCACATGCCATCCTTGCCTATGAGCGAGAAACACGGGAGAGTCTCTTTCACCACCCGATGAGCTGCGCTGGAATAGCTTGCCTAGCGTTCTGCAGTCTGTGGTTATGGTTTTAGGCACGCACGCACGCACACACACACACACACACGCACATGCACATGCACACACACGCACACACATAGGCACACACACGCACACACATAGGCACGCACACGCACACACATAGGCACACACACGCACATACATGCACACACACACGCACACACATTTCCATTATACACATATATATATATACCATTTCTCAGGGAAAGAAGTATTGACATCAGACATAAGCCCCTTTAACTCAAGAAAGTCCCCCAACCCCCTCAATCCCCACTGCCTGCCAGTTCCCCCAAGGAAAAAAAAAATAAATGAAAGATATTTCCATCATCCTCAGTTTTCAGGTCTCCTCTCAGTCGCATTTGAACTTTTCCAAATACTGCACAGGATGGACAGAGTGACCCGTCCAGCAAGGCCCGAGGTCTTCTCAACTGGGTCAGATGTTTCTGGAAAAAGAGAAGGCCCCGAGTTAGCATTTATAGCAAGATGGTTCCACCCCGGTGAGTCCGGCCAATCCCGCCGCCTCTTCCCACTGTCATCTGCCCCGAGGTGCGCTCTGGCCTGAGCCTGGACTCGGGGCCACACCTGACGCGTTGATGGGTGGCTCCTGTGGATTGAGAAGCTTGTTACCTTCGCTCCCCCCCCCCCCCCCGTCCACCCTGCTAAGTGCTAAGCACAGAGACCGAGCTCATTAAGAATCCACTGAATTGGGCTGGGCGCGGTGGCTCACGCCTGTAATCCTAGCACTCTGGGAGGCCGAGGCAGGAGGATCGCTCGAGGTCAGGAGTTCAAAACCAGCCGAGCAAGAGCAGACCCTGTCTGCTACTAAAAAAAAAAAAAAAAATAGAAAGAAATTAATTGGCCAACTAAAAGTATATAGAAAAATAGCCCGGGCATGGTGGCATGCCTGTAGTCCCCGCTACTCGGGAGGCTGAGGCAGGAGGATCGCTTGAGCCCAGGAGTTTGAGGTTGCTGTGAGCTAGGCTGACGCCACGGCACTCACTCTAGCCTGGGCAACAGAGTGAGACTCTGTCTCAAAAAAAAAAAAAAAAAAAAGAATCCACTGAATTGAATCTTTTCTTCTTTTCTGTTCTTCAAGCTGTTGCAGCCCATCTACCAGGAAAGAGCGTCTGCGGTCTCATCTCACATCTGTCTGGACCGAAGTTACAGCCCGGTCTCCCCACCAGGACCCTCCGCAGGTGCCGGGGTTCGGGAGGGTGCTGGCAGGCAGCCTGCGCTAAGAAGGCCCCTGTGCCTGGCTCGCCCTGTCCTCGCCCCGGGCTACATGCAGATGGCTCCAAACAGGGACAGCCTCTGAGGACCCTCTCCAGGGTCGATGACAGCTGATTTGGGGATCTGGCTGCGGTTCTCGGCCGGGCTGCATCAGAAATACTTTAGATGCTTGTTTAAAAATGCATTTTCCTGGACCCTAGACCACGGCTACAGAGTCAGAACGGCTGGGGTTGGGGCCAGGAGTGCGTGAGCCGCCCAGGTGACTGCAGTGAACAGGAAGGCCTGCGAGCCTTTGGCATAGAATCGTTTCTGAGGTTTTGGTCCCTAGAACCGTCAGCGGGAAATAAGCTTGTCCACCCTAGGCACGTGCAGAGACTGGAAAGTGGACTAGAAAAAGGATAAAAAAGTGAGCTATGAGTGGCTAACCCCAGAGTGACATATTCTATAATTTCCGTTGTATATATCGTATCGCATGCTGTCTTCCACGTGAATGGCACCGCCTGTCTTGTGCAGTGTGCAACCTACACATTTGTACCTGACAGTCCTGCACAGAAACCTCTGGCTCTTCTGACATTACCAGGACATTCTACACCCCTAATATCTTGTGGTGGGACGGCTCATGCTCCCGGCCAAGCTGTCTACACAGCTGCTGGCGTTGGCCGGAGCCAGGCTTTCAGCCAGACCAAAGGAGGCTTCTGTGTCCCTTGCCTGTCCGCGCTCTCTGAGACGGGCGGAGGCTGTTTGTTGCGGTGGTCCTAGAGGCATCCCTGGCCCTGCGGGAGGGGAGGTTCTTACCTGCAAGGTGAACTTGCTTGGACAGCCTCTTCCTAGAATCGGGAGGTGAAGTTCCTGAGGCTGTTGGCCCCGGCTAAGGTCCCCAGCATGTTCCTATCGAAACCTTGCTGCAAAGACAGAAACACCGACTGTGTGGCTCAAACGCAGCGTGGGGCTTGCTGTGGGGCAGACACTGCCCCCCCAGAGCACCCCCGGCTCATACGGCCTCTGGACACGCGTGTGTCCTGACCACTATGCACAGGTGTCAGGGGCTAGAACCGGCCACATGAGATGTGCAACCAGACATAGCGCCGCCGCTCTCCGTGGGTCGGGGAACGTGTTTGGGCTTCCATCGGCGAGATCGAAGTTCCCGCTTGTCTTTGTACGAAACCTGAATCAAGGCGTGAGGATTCCGGCCAGGACCCATGAGGTTAGAGGTTGTTGGCCGTTCCTCCTTCCGACCATCCCTGCCTGTCGTCGTTAATTCCCACAGGAGCTCTCGGGCAGGGTGGATGTGCGTTTCCCAAACAGCAGCGGGCGGCCGGCAGTGAGGCCGCAGTGCGAGAAGGCTCTGCCTACTTGTCTGCTCTCCACCTCCGGCCCCGACAGCCCCGGAGCACCTGCTGCATGGAGACCGAGTCCTGCTCCTGTCATTTGTCCCAGCGAACAGCAGGTGCTCCGTGAACACGCTGGGGAGCGAGTGAGCAAGGACAGCATAACGTGACAGCAGCAGCAGGCCCGGGTCCCCTTGGGAACAGGAGGAGACGGCACAGGGGACTCAAAACAGCAGCTGGTGGGAAGCCCGGCTGCTCCCGAGCTTGTGCTCGTTTCCCCTGCAGACCTGCCTGCTGGGTCCTGCTGTGCTTGGCTGCATTTGGCGGATGGAACCAGGGCGTGAAAGGCACTGGATCCCTGCCTTGCTCTTGCTGTAACCCTAACCCTAACCCTAACCCTGACCCACCTGTCTAGCCAGAGTGCCCAAATGACCTGTCTGCCTTCTGTCCACCCTGTTTTCCAGTTGCTCCCACCACAGGCCTCTCACACATTTCCTTGGTTTCCTCTGCGCTCCACACACCCAGCACCCCTCAGAGAGCCCCGAGCCCAGAGATCCGGTCAGAGCGCGTATCACGCGATGCATCTGCACGCCCACGCTGTCTTGGTCTCTCAGCCGCTCTGGGGTCTGTCCCGTGCAAGCCTCACGCAGTGGCTGGGGCAGGCCCCCTGCCTCCCTCTTCCACCCACCTGGCCTTCCCTCCTGGCAGGGAAAGGCTTTGCCGGGCGGGAGGAACCACCCCGGCAGGGGTTGCTGACTGACGGGGCTCTTACCTGTCTGAGGACGCCCTGCAGCTCCTTGCTGGCCCACATGTCAGACAGGAGAAGGCGGGCGGCCTCCGCGGCCTTGGGCGAGGCACTGGGCAGGGGACAGGCGTTTGTAAGACGAGGTTCTAGCAGGCACGAGAAGGACGTCCCCCCTCCCGCCCTCGGCCCCTGGTCTTGGAGATGGTGGGGAGGGAGAGGCCCCGGGGGTGCAGGAGAGAGGAGCCCAAGTGGGGCGCGCTGAGCCCTGGTCGCTCTGCACAGTGGGGGCAACCCCAGCCCTGCCATACAGGGGCCCCAGGACTGTGCTCAGGGGCCATGGGGCGGGCGGGTGGGAGGGCCCTCCCCACCACAGCCCTTGTCCTGGGGGGGAGGGCCTCACGGGGCAGGATAAAGCTCCCCCACAGTTGGGTCCGCTGCCCCTCTGAGGACACCGTGTCCCGCGTCCCCCAGCTGAGAAGTGTGCCACCGCCCCTGTCCCCTCCGCATAGCCCGAGGCCTAGGTGCCGGGCCCCGGCTCCACTCACTCTCAGCGTCTAGAACTTCCCCAGCCCTGCCTCCCCCGCCCTGGGCATTTGCCCCGCTTGCTCGTGGAGAGCTGCAGGGCCCCTGCTTGCAGCAAGGCGGGGAGGGGTCGCCTGTCCCGCCGCGCACCTGCCGCGGCTCAGGTTGATGACGTTGTTGAGCATGCTGCTGGTGAGGAACTGCTTGGCCATCTGCGGCTGCGAGGCCATCAGGTTCCGCACGGTGTAGCAGGCCGAGGACAGGATGTCTTCGGACTTGTTGGTGTTGCCCGTGTGGCTGGTGAGGAGCCTGGTCACCTCTGGGAACACCTGGTTCCCTAGGAGACGGAGGGGTAGGGGCGCAGGGTCAGGACGACCCAGGGGAGGAAGGGTTCCCTCCGGGGCCCCGGTCTGGGGCCGCCTCCTGCCAGGCTCAGGGCTGGGAGCCCGGGCGGGGCCTCTGCAGACCTGCGCCCAGCCCCAGGGGACCGGCGGCCCTGTCTGTCTGCACACCTGTCTCTGGCAGGCCTCCCCTCCTGGGACGCTCCCCCCGGGGGGCGGTGACGAGGGCGACCCTGCAGCAGGCTCTGCAAGGCGAGGGGCCCGCCGCGCCCTGTCTGGGGGTGGGGGGAGGGACGGGTGGTCTCACCCATCACTCTGTGCAGCACCGGGTGGCGGGACATGTTGCTCAGCAGGGAGGCTCCGGACCGCACCACGTCCGAGTTGCCGGACTGCAGGAGGCGGGCGATGTGGGGCAGGCCCTTCTCCTTCAGCCCGATCAGCTGGCTCATGCCGCTGGACATCTGGGGAAGGAGAGCCCAGTGAGGGGCCCCGGCTCCCGGCTGGCCCCGCAGGCAGCAGCGGCCGGGAATCCCAAGCACAGGACCCCGGGGCCTCTCCCCTTCCGCACTGGAAGGGCCAGCAGGTGCGCAAAGACCTGCTCCCACGCGGACACCTACAGCGCACCCAGAGCCACCTGGAAGCTCCCAAGGGCAGGGACGTTTCAGCCCCGCATCTCCCTGGTGCCCGGCCCAGCTCTAGCATGCACCGGGTGTGCTGCCCCCGTCTGCAGGGTGAGCTCAGACGCCGTGTGAGCCGCGTGGACGCGGCCGGGGGAGGCCCGGGGAGAAGCAGGGAGCGGGGCCTGGCCCGTGGGCGGAGGCCGGGAGTCCGCAGGGGGGGGGGCGGGGCTGCTCACCAGCCCCTTGCTGGCCGTCAGGTTCTGCAGGGCGCCCGCGCAGGCCTCCAGGGTGGCATCCTTCTTGCTCTTGGCCATGAGGTTCAGGTAGGTGCGGATGGCATCTGAGTGGTACAGCCAGCCGCTGCCCTTGGGGTTGGCCTCCTCCTCGGGCAGCGGGCAGTCATAGTTGTTGTTCTGGGAGGAAGAGCAGGTCAGGGGGGAGGCCCGGAAGGGGCACAGCCCGAGCGTCCGGTCTTCGTCCCCCCAAGCTCGGGGGTGTGGCTCCGGGTGGGAGGGACCGAGGAAGGGCCCACCGAGGCAGGGGGCCTAGAGATGCACCCCGGCGCCCTTTCCTCTGTGCATGGGGGCCACCCCGTGGGGATAGGGACAGGCTATGGGCCTGCAGACTGTGTCCAGAGGGCAGGGCACCCCCAGCATCTCAGGCCCTCTGCCCCAGGGCAGCCCGGCCAAGCCTCCAGCGGTGTGAGGCTGCTCCGGGCTCTCACATCGAGACGCTTCTGCCCTTCCCAGAGTCAGAATGTGGGTTTGTGCCCCGTCCTGGGCCTCCAGGGTGGTCCGGGGCCTCGACTGCACAGCCAGGCCCAGCGGAGGAGGCCCGACCGTCCCTCTGCGGCACCTGCTGCCTCCAGGGAGATGGCCGGGAGGGCTCAGGAGACAGTGGGAGCCAAGGGCAGACAGGGGTCAGAGCTCTGGCTGTCCCCACATCCTCAAGGGCAAGGGAGAACATGGGTGAGACCCAACCCATTACACAATGAGGGAGACTGAGGCCTGCCAACAGAGGGCTGGAGCTTCGGACCTCTGGGGCAGTCTGGGCTCCCGCAGTCCCGAGCACACAGCTGGTCTCTGCGTGCGAGACGGAACGAAGGCCTGCTCCCCGGCTCCCGGGCGCAGCGTGAGCCCCACGTGAGGCTGGGGTGCGGGCCCGGCCCCCAGCGCCGGGCTCAGGCTGCAGCAGGCCCGAGAGGAAAGGGCGGTGGGGCAGGGGGCCGGGCGCGGTGCTCACCATCATCTTGTCGCTCTTGTTGCTGAAGCAGCCGGTGGAGGACTTCTCGGTGTAGGCGTTGCGGGCGTTGTACTCCAGCTGGCGGTAGCGGGTGGGCACCTCGGCGTCCAGGCGGTAGGAGAGGTTGTGCAGGACGCACATGCAGTTCTCCACGGACTGCGGACAAGCGGGAGTCAGCGCCTGAGCCCCTGCCCGGCCCGGCGGGCTCCCGGCTCATCTCCTGCCCACACAGGCGGGAGCAGCGGGTGTCCCCCACACCCTCCGTCTGGAAATCGCTCCTGGGGACACTCGGGGACCTGGATCTGAACCTCTCACTCCCAGGCTATGTGAGCTTGAGCGGCTTGCCTCGGCTTTCTGGGCCTCAGTTTCCACCGCCTCCTGCACTGGGCGACGGGGAAGATGAAAGGGGGAAGTGCCCGCCATGGGCCCCATGCGTGGCAGGACACACGGACCTGGCCACTGTGTCGCCTGCTGTGGACGCAGCGCAGTGACAGGCGTCTGCCCTCCTGGAAGGGCCTTTTGGAAGCGGCCTTGGTGTCGCTAGGCTCCGAAGCCATCGAGCCCCCTGCCTCTGCCCTTCCCTCTCTCTGTGACCAGCCCTCGGCCTCCAACATTAAAGGTGCGAGGTCCGGCCGGGCGCGGTGGCTCACGCCTGTAATCCTGGCTCTCTGGGAGGCCAAGGCAGGAGGATCGCTCGAGTTCAGGAGTTCGAGACCAGCCTGAGCAAGAGCGAGACCCCATCCCTACTATAAATAGAAAGAAATTAATTGGCCAACTAACATGTATATAAAAAATTAGCTGGGCATGGTGGCGCATGCCTGTAGTCCCAGCTACTCGGGAGGCTGAGGCAGGAGGATTGCTTGAGCCCAGGAGTTTGAGGTTGCTGTGAGCTACGCTGACGCCACGGCACTCACTCTAGCCTGGGCAATAAAGTGAGACTCTGTCTCAAAAAAGAAAAAAAAAACTGTGAGGTCCACACAAGGCCTGGAGACTGGTACTCCGTAATGGCAGCCGGGCCCACACCGTTGTCGTTTTGCCGTGGTGAAGCCCCCAGGCTCAGGTTTTGGGGCAGTGCAGAGGATTTGCATTGTTTGGCCACTGCTGGGGTTTGAGGGACTCGGGCTTCCAGGGTTAGGGTGACACAGGTGTAGGGGACATTGCCCACTGGAACCAGGCTGAGCCTCCAAGTAACAAGGCTGCCCTTGGAGGCCCTGCTGTCACTCCCAGGGGAAGAAGCAGGAGATAAAATCCCTCCTCCTGGAGACGGTGCTGAGGACCCAGGTGCCAGTCCCCTGGAGGTCTGGGGACCACTGCACCTCCTCGTCTCCCACGTCACTGTGCTGCTGTGCTCGAAACATCCCAGCCTTCAGTCTACCCGCCCGCCACGACCTTTCCCTCTGCCTCTTCGTGCTGGTGTGTTGGAAAGTCCAGGGAGGGCAGGACGGTGGCTCTGCCAGTGGCGATTTTGGAGGCAGCGGGAAGACAGCGGTGGCAGAAGGAGCCTTGTCTCGGGGAGGACTAGCCCTGGGTGCAGCAGTGTGGATTGCTCGGGCCGCAGGGCAGGGCTGGCACCGCCAAGGATGGCGAGGCTGGCAAATGTGCGCTGGGCACTTGGTCTGAGCCTGTTCTTTGTGTTTTTTTGAGACAGAGTCTCACTTTGTTGCCTGGGCTAGAGTGAGTGCCGTGGCGTCAGCCTAGCTCACAGCAACCTCAGACTCCTGGGCTCAAGCGATCCTCCTGCCTCAGCCTCCTGAGCAGTAGCTGGGACTACAGGCATGTGCCACCACGCCCGGCTAATTTGTTCTATATATTTTTAGTTGCCCAATTAATCTCTTTCTATTTTTTTTTTTAGTAGAGACGAGGTCTCACTCTTGCTCAGGCTGGTCTCGAACTCCTGACCTTGAGCAATCCTTCCGCCTCGGCCTCCCAGAGTGCTAGGGTTACAGGCGTGAGTCACGGCGCCCGGCCTGTTCTTTGTGTTTTGCTTCTTAACTAATCGAGTCCTTCAAACAACCCGTGAGGTCCATGTGACCGCGGCCCTCTCCTTAGAGTTGAGAGTGAACCGGCAGCAGAGAGGTTAAGCAGGCAGCTGCTGTGTCCACTCAGTGTCTAAGTGAGGGAGAGGGAATTCGCACGGGCGCGCTGCCCCCAGCGCCTGCCTCTGTCGCCATGGCGGTAGTCCGCATCCCTCCACTGCCCCAGACTCTGCCGCTGCCGCCCGGCCGGTCGCTGGGCCAGGCTCCAAAGGCACCCGGGAAGGGCAGCCCCGACTCGTGGGGTCTGGGAGAAAAGCGCCAGGACGGGGACTCCAAGGAGCCGCCCTCACTGGTTGCAGGTGTGGCTCTGGGCTTCAGAGCCCTGGACAGGCGGACGGATGGGGGTGTCGGGGTGCCGGGGGGCGGGGGCTGCACGCTCACCTTGTCGTCGCAGCGGCTGGCCGCCACGCAGTTCTGCACGTAGGCCATGAGGGAGTCGATGAGCCCCGAGTAGTTGCGCATGGCGTGGCGGCCCGCGTCCGCCGAGCTCAGGTTCCTGGGGGACGGCAGAGAGGGTGGGGTGCAGAGAAGGTGGGGACAAGGGGGTGCGGCGGGGCAGGCAGAGGGGAGAACAGGCAGAGAGAGAGGACGGTGGAGGTTGGAGGGTGTGGTAGGAGGAGGAAGGAAGGAGGGGGAGAGGAAAGGAGTGAAGAGGGGCAAAGAAAGGAGGAAAAAGGAAGGAGAGAAAAGTCATTTAGCCCATCACGCCTCGCCCTGGCAGAGTCTGCAACGTGGTCTCGGTTGAACCCAGTTCTCGCTCTTCTGTCTGCCCGGGTGGTCCCCGGGCACGTGGTTTTATGGCTGTCACTGGCTCCATGTGGCCACGGCTCCTCTGCAGCTGACAGCCCAAGGCTCACACTCGGCCACTAGTGGCCACGCACAGACCGGGAGCAGTGAGCTCCCTGCCTGCCACTCTCTTTCTGGGGTGCAGGAAGCAGCTCGTGTGTGGGGTGCTGGATTGGGGATGGAGCGGAGGGTGGGGACCAGACAGCCCTCCCCATGCAAGCATGCTCTGCGCAGCAGTGGGCTCCTTCCCGGCAGCGTGCGCCCATCTGCCTGGCGCAGGGGGGCGTGCGGCAGCCCTGCAGCCCCATGAAGTCCTTAACTGCACTGGTGTTTTTCGTGTCCCCAGCTTCCCCCCTCTCTGGAGGCTGCTGCTGGGGGCTGGCAGGGAGACGCACAAGTGGAGACACGGAGGCACGTGCCGACTTCACTCTGGAAAGGGGTTCTCAGGGGTTGGGGAACAGCAAGGCGGGCCCCTCGAGGGGGCCTTTCTCCACCAGCTCTAAGCTCTGTACCAGCGGCCCAGTCCCCACCAGCTTGGACACTCCGCTCCCAGAGCGAGCACGCCCACCAGCCCCACGGGGGCCGTGCCACACCCTGGGCGGGGCCCAGGGAACTCTGGGCAGAGCAGTGGCATCTCCATGCCAATAGATATGGCAGACGGCTGAGCACCGCAGCCGGAAGTGACTCACGGGCAGCCACATCAGTAGACTTTTGTCTGAAAGAATGCTCTTCAAGATGCTACAAGAAATGCATTTTTCCAGGGGGCGGAGGAGAGGGAAATGGTCGAACCAGTTCGGATGTTCAGATCCAGGCATTTCCACTCTTAGATTCCTAACTCACGTCTGCTGTGGCCCCTCAGAGGAGGCGGCAGGGTCCCCAGCCCCGTCCAGGTTCAGGGAAGTTAGGGACACCTGGCCCCGTGTCTCGGCACCTGCCCGAGAGAGCCGGTGCCGGGTTCTGCTGTGTTCCCTGTCCTGGCTGGGTGCTGGCTGAGATGGGGCCTGGGGCTGGGGCAGAAGGACCCCTTGGGTCCTCTCCTCTCACCTCAAGCAGCCCGTGGCATTGAAGAAGACCTCAGGGTCCACCACGTCCCGGGACATGTTGCTGTTGCCGTCGCGCCAGCCGGAGTAGGGGATGATGACGCGGTCAGCCAGAACGGGCAGCGCGTCCGCGATCAGCTCCTCCTTCAGCTCGTCGGTGGAAGACAGGTTCCAGAGCAGCCCTGGGGGGCGCGGGCCGTCAACCCACAGGCGCCAGGCTCAGGGGCCCCAGCCCAGGCTCTGGCAGACAGGCCCTGCTTCAGTGTCACCTTCCAGGTGGGCCTGGTCTATCAACCCTATCGTCTGCTTCCTGAACCCGTTTCTCAGTATTTTCGCTAGACTGCAGGTTCTTTGAGGGCAGGGAGCATCTCGGAGCTCTCTGTCTAGGTCCAAACCGTGCAAATAGAAAGTTACCAAAAACCATTTGATCGGTCAGTGGCTTTTAACATACATTTCGGAACTCCGAATCTTCTAATGTTCTCTATTTCCCATCTGCAAGCCTTTCTGGAAATACTTGTCAACTGTTATTCTGCAGTCCAATTTGAGGTCTTCATGGTGACAAAAATCACCTGCACCCCCCACCTGGAGTGCTTAGCGTGTCTTTTGGACACAGGGCAGGTGCATAAGACTCGTTAACCCCTCCCCTGCCAGTCTGACTCTCTCCCCATCACCTGCAAATCCGAGGGCCTGGTGAATATGGGTCCTGCCTGGACACTGGCCTTCTTCCAAGTGCCCTCTAACCTCAGAAAGACCATGACCCGTGATCCTTGTGGGTATGCACGTCACCCAGGGTCACCATCTGGACACCACTCACGAGGCCAAGGCCATTGGACTCCCAGGATAGTAGCCCTGGGCCAGATCTGTGCAGCTGTGCCTTGGCCTGTCCCCAGCTTGGGGCTGCAGCCATCAGCCTTGCACAGGTCCCCACCCTCCTGGCTCTCCGTGGCGGGGGCGTCCTACCGGTCAGTTGCTTCTGGATCTCGGTGTTCCCGGTTCTCCTCAGGAGGTTGACGGCCTCGCGGATCCCGTTCTGCCGCCGGGTCTCCAGCTTGTTGGTGGTGCTGCGGAACACCAGGTTGCGCAGGGCCCCCGCCGCGGCCTGCTGGACGTTCTGGTTGGGGCTGCGGAGGAGGTCCACCAGCTTGCAGATGCCTCCCAGCTGGTAGACCTGCCGGGAGAGAAGCACCACGCCGCCTGGTCAAGGGAGGGAAGCCTGACCTCCTAATTCTCTACCCAAAGTGGATTTTTCTCAGACCAAAAAAAAAAAAAAAAAATATGCTGTAGTTCAGAAGCATCTAAGTCAACCAAAATAAACAAGCAGTGTGAGGTCACGGTAACTGACCCAGACCAGGAGCCACAAGGCCTGGATTCAGATCCTGGGTCGCCCAGTCCCAGCTGGGAGACCCTCCTCCTTCCTGAGCCCTACTTCCTTCCTTTGCAGAATGGTGGTGAGGACCAGATGAGACAATGGATATAAATACATTTCAAACTCCTAAAGCAGGACACAGACATAAGGAAGACTCTGCTGTGGAAACTCTTTCTCCTGCAGTAGAAATCTTGATGCTAACTAACCCTGGACTCTAGCAACCCGTTTATGTCACTATACCCTTCGGTATGAGTTGCGGAGCCCTGTGGGAGTCCTCCCTGCCAGCCAAACGTGGGAGGCAGGAACAAGCCCAGGTTTCCACCATAAGATGCCTGGGGAGAGGGAAGGGGGTAGGAGGATGGGAGTCGAGGGTGGGAGAGGTCATGCTCTTCAGTGGAACTGGAGAAAGGCGATTTCTGCTGAACCCACGGCTAGCACTGCAGTGTCGTCTCTTCCATGGCCAGTGGAGGAAATGCACCTGTCTAATGTCCACTCAACCAGAGGGCTTTGCTCTGCAGAAGGCTGAGATGCCCAGCTCAGCCCTCGGGCAATGCGAGGGCCCCTGGCAGCTGGGCAGGGTGAGACGGAGCCAACGGCAAATGCCCGCACCCATCTCTAAACGCAGGGCCAGGCCCTGCAAAGGCCTACCAGGGAGGAGGGTGTGCAGCCAGGTACCTGTTGCTTGGCAGATTCATCCTGGAAGCAGGTGTGCTGGATGTAATAGGCCCCAATGGCCTGGTACTTCTCATCCTGGGAGCTCAGGTACTGCACCGCCTTGGGGATGGTCAGCCCGCTGCACTCAATGTCCTCACTGCAGATCCTGTGGGGAACGGGCAGTGGCGGATGGTTACAGGGGGAGCTGGGAGTCCTGGAGACGGGGCTCAGAATTCCTCCTTGCACGCCTGTGCTGCCACAGCCTTCTCTGCCCTCCAGGGAGTCAGAACACGGCAGGCCCAGGCCCACTTGGAGACCAAGCACCCTTAGAACAGCTCAGCTCCTTCAGAGGAGGCAGACGCACACCCGCTGGCTTTCCACTGTGAGAACACGGGCTCTGAGAGGCTCTGGCTGTGGTCAGCGTCCAGGCAGGCAGTTATCTCAGCACTGAGGAAACACTCCACCCTCTTCCCTGCGGGGAAACTCCTCACTCACCCTTCCATCTCTCAGGTTTGTGCCCAGTATTGGGAAAATGAAAGACCATGGCTGTGAGCACATCCATCCACCCATCCATCCATCCATCCATCCACCCACGCATCCATCCATCCACCCATCCATCCACCATCCATCCACCCATCCATCCACCATCCATCCACCCACCCATCCATCCATCCACCCATCCATCCACACATCCACCCATCCATCCATCCATCCATCTATCCATCCATCCATCCATCCATCCATCCATCCATCCATCCATCCACCCATCCTTCCACCCATCCATCCATTCACTCATCCTTCCACCCATCCATCCATCCACTCATCCTTCCACCCATCCATCCATCTACCCATCTATCCATCCACACATCCATCCATCCATCCACCTATCCATCCATCCATCCATCCATCCATCCATCCACCTATCCATCCATCCATCCATCCATCCATCCATCCATCCACCTATCCATCCATCCATTCATCCATCCACCCATCCATCTACCCATCTATCCATCCACCCATCCTTCTACCCATCCATCCATATACCCATCTATCCATCCACACATCCATCCATCCATCCATCTATCCACCCATCCTTCCACCCATCCATCCGTCCACTCATCCTTCCACCTATATATCCATATACCCATCTATCCATCCACATATCCATCCATCCATCCAGCCAGCCAGCCAGCCAGCAATCCTTCCACCCATCCATCCATCCATCCCCAAGTCTGGCTCTTCTTACACAAAAACTCTCACATCCACCTCTTCTTCCCATCCTCATGGCCCCCACTTTCCTACTGATGATGACCATGCTCGTGACTGATCAGCAGCAATAGACCCTCTTTTCCAAGCTCCCCCACCCAGCGTTTTATACCTCTTTATCCGAGAAGTGGTCCTAAAACCCTGTTCACTGTGCTGTTCCCCGGCTCAGAAAAAATCAGCAGCTTCTCCATATTACAGGTTCAGGTTGAACCACAGGAACCGGCTGATAGCCTTGTTTGAGCCACAAAACCAGAAACTAATATGCTTTACCCTGATCACCTGGCTCCACTGTGTCCTCTTGTACATTCCGAGCCCCTTAACAAGGGTCCCCTAACCAGGTCCCAGGCACACCTGAAGGGAACCCCTCCTGGAGGATCCTCTCCAGCTCCCACGGTGTTGAGGCACAGGCTGGCGACCGACTGTGTCCTGGTTCCCAACCGAGATGGAGCGTTGTCCCCGTGCAGGGGCAGACCCTTCTGTGGCACCTGGCTCTACTCCACTAGATATCCCTCGGCATTTATAGAGTGAGCCCTCTCCTCATTTGTACTAGATTCACGTTCTCAATACCAGGTGCTTGATAAATATGCATGATTTTAGGCACAACAACCCAACTTCGTTTCTAGAAAAATCACCCAAAGGTTAGAGCTCTCTGTCCCTGGGCCAGCAGTACCCCTGCCCTGCATTGAGAGACTGTCACCCTGCGTCCGTCAGTCAAATGTCACCTCTAAATGGCTTGTCACTCATCCCCTCCATATCTTACCTAGACCCTCCACTCAGGGCCTCTGGTTGGGGCAATAAGCCAGGGCCAGACGCTGCCCTGATCAGCCTCCTAGGGCGTGGAGTTTCCTAGCCCCTCTCCAATCGCCCCAAGCGCACCCTGTAGCCTTTCAGCGGTTAGGAGAAGGCTGGCTCCCTAGCGGGGCTCTGCTTATTTTCAGAACACTGCGGTACCAGCAGGGAGAAGCACAGGATGTAGAGGCAGCCGTGTGGCCTTGGGTGAGCTACTTAGCATCTCTGGGCCTTGTTTCCTCCTCGGGAATCCTGGCACCTGCCTGGAAGGGGTTGTGAGGATTAAGGATGGAGAATGCAAGGCTCCCGGTCGTTAGGAAAGGCAGTTAATCGCGTAGCTCCAGAGCAGCTCGGGGCCGTCCTCAGGGCTGTGTCCCTGTGCTCACCCCAGAGCCTGGCGTGTAGCAGATGCTCAGTAAGTGTTTGCTAAATAAGTGAGTGACAGCGATCGTTCCGGTGGTGAGGAAGGACAGTGCGAAGGTTCACGGCACTCTGAGCCCCGAAGGGCAGGCACAAGGTCACGCACGACACCCAGGTGCCATGGGCTCCTTGCAGGACAGCCCATTCGGTCTCCATTCTTCCCACTGCACAATGGCCCTTCATCCTTTATGTACAGGAGTTGTGCTCTGTTCCTTAACATTGGATTGTGTCCCTCTGTTTTCTGTCTGTCTGTCCTAGTCATTCTCTGGAGTTACCTGTCTTAGCACCTGTAACCCATTCTGTCCCTGCAGTACACACCAACGCATGTTCCTGTGCTCTTTCGGAACACAGATAGAGACTGACATGCCTCAGATCAGAGGTTCTCCAGCCCTAGCGTGAACCACAGTCACCCAGGCGGCTTGTTAGGACACCGGGCCCCTCTCCCAGTGTTTCTGAGCCAGTAGGCCTGGGTGGGGCCCAAGAATAGGCATTTTCAACAACTCCCCAGGGGATGCTGATGTTGCTGGTCAGGGGGACACATTTCGCGAGCCACTGGCCGAGCCAACCTCCTCTGATTAGCCTCCCTTTCCCCACCGCCTGTGGCCTGTCAAACCTCCACGCTGGGTTCCATCTCCCCATTCACCCCGAGAGCTCCCGGAGGTCAGGGGCCTCCCCACACGGTGAGGCTGTGTCTCCTGCCATCCTGGGAGCCCCTTGCAGAGCACGGCCAGGCTCGCGGCCCCCGCCCGGCGCCCCGCCCCGGCCTAGAAGCACTCACTTGGAGCTGGCCCTGGAGTGGCCGAAGGACAGGTCCTTGTTGCAGGAGATGGGCGGGACGTACACCGGGTCCTGCTTGGAGGCGCAGGAGGGCGGGCGCACCGGGCACTTCTTGACGGCCTTCTGCCCGCTGCAGGTGCTGTAGAAGCTGTAGCGGTTCTGGGCGTTCTTGTGGCCCTTCTGCAGCGTGCCCTTGCGCAGGGTGCCCCTCGGGTCGCAGTAGAGGTCGGGCTCGCTGCGGCTCGCCTTGATCTTCTGCATGAAGCAGATGTCGCTGCCCGCCCCGGTGGTGGTGTAGCTGCCCCGGGGGTAGCGGCACGCCCAGTTCTCCATCTGGCTGTAGGAGCTGAAGCGCCTGTTGTCCGGCTCCCGCTTGAGGGTCCCGTTGTAGATCTGGGAAAAGAGAGAAGGGCTCCGTCGAGGTTCCTGGGCAGGGATCCCGGGTCCAGCCGGTCCTGGGCTACACCCCTCCCTCCGCCCCACATGATGCTCGGGGAACCCAGGACGTCTGCAGCGGGAGGAGCCTCAGCCGTCACCTGATACACTGCTCTGCACACCGCAGGCCGTGGCCCATCATGGGCCATGAAATCGATTTAGCAGACTGCGACCGCCATTTTAAACAGTATTATTTGAATAGTATTATTTAAAACGGCGATCACAGTCTGCTAAATAGATAATAAATCCTGGAATATAAAGTGTCAGAGAGCAAAGCAGGTAGGAGAGACATGGACTGTTCTGTGAGACGGCATATCGGCACTGGACCGCAAGGTCAGAGGTGTCTCTTACTGTGGGACGCAGTCAAAAAGGCTGGACAGCCGCTGACCTGGTCCTGCACAGGCACGGCCCTGGAGGGGGGTGAGTTGCAGGCCCAGAGGGAAGAGGGGACTTGCAATAGCCGCTCAGCGAGGCAAGGGCGGAACCTGGGCCTGAGCCTGTGTCTGCAAGGCCTGCAAGCCCTCACCCCACAGCCGTGCCATGCCCGGGGGCCAGAGACTTGGACATAGCCAGCCTTCCGTGGTCACCTGTGCTCAGCACACAGAAACTTCTATGCCGGCCAGGACTGTTGTGTACTGTTCTTTCCTGCTAAACTCTTCACCTGGCCTCCCCCCTGCCAGGGCAAGGGACTGTCAGCTGGGGGCCCCCTGGGCACACGGAGGCAAGCCCCTCTCCGGCGCTTCATTGCCGGGCTGGCAGTGGGAGAAGCCGGGCAGAGGCTCAGCCCAGCAGGAAAACGTGGGATGGACAGCGAGGCGCTCCCCGGGCTCTGCGAGGGCCCCGCCGGGAGGAGCCCCGGGGCTGGAGACCGTGGGAATTTGCTCTGGAGCAGAACCGTCCGCGGAGGACGTTCCCAGGAGCTCGCATGCCGGTGGGTCCGGCCTGCCGGGACTTGTCCTCAGACCAGAGGATCAACATGGAGCCTGATCAAGTGTCTCCGCACAGGTGCTGGCTTGGGGCTCACCTTTGCTGGGATGAGCCAGGGCCAAAGCCAGCAGCTTGGAGCCTGCCCACCTCCCCCTGAGAGAAAGCATGAGAGTGCGTGTGCGTGTGTGCGTGCGTGTGCGTGCATGTGTGCAGGGCAGGTCCTCCGGCAACTGGGTACTTCTCCTCCGCACCAGACATGGCCACAGAAGGCCAGGGAGGGGCTGGGTCCCCTTCACACCACAGGGAGCCGTGGAGCGCAGGGACCTCTGTGGTCTGAGCTCCTGGAGTGTCAGGCTGCCGGCCAGATGTGGCTCGTGAGACCCAGAAGCCGCAGACTGCCTGCCTTGGCAGTGGCCTGCCCATCTCCTTCTCCCACGCACCCAGCTGTGTGCTCAGGCAGGTGGGATTTTCCTCCCCAAGCTGGGGCAAACCGGCCTACCCCACGGGTGGTGGCTCGTGGGGGTGGGGACAGCACGGGGCAGAGGGAGGAGAGCCGGGCGGTTTCTGAGCATTTGGACGAGGAGGGAGCCCCTTGCAGACTACGGGCAAGATGCGCAGCCCGGCAGCCCCTGCTTGGAAAGGGCCACTCCCTCCGTCGCCCTCTGGGGCGGGACGGTGGCGGGCGGCTCCTGGAGGCAGAGCCACGCACTGCCCAGGGCGAAGGCCGCTGAGCCGTAGATGGAAGTGCAACAGGAGCGCCCTTGTTCTCAGAAAGTGACACGCCCGGACGTCTTCTCGGGCACCCGAGGAGTCCAGATGCGCGTCCTGGCCCCGGCCCAGCGGGGATGCGATCATGCTGATTAAGCCTGACGGAGGCTCCGGGCTCCGCTCCCCCGTGCTGGGAAAGGCAGCAGCTGCCGCCTGCCAGGTCCTGGCGAGGGTGGGCTGCCCGCGGGGAGCGGCGCCAGCCCTGCCGCAGGGGAGCCGGTGATCACGGTGGGACGGCAGAGACGCCCCCGTGGGACCGAATTTCCTGGGCCCCACCGGCCACGCCCGGCGGTGTCACCCACCCTGGGAGCCCCCCCCCACCAGCCCCTGGTGTCACGGTGCCGGTGGGCTGAGGACGCCTGTGGGTGACCCTCTCGTGCCACCAGGGTGCTTTGCTGTCGCTTCGACAAGCAGGAGAGAAGCTCCCCGTCCTCCCCCAGCACCACAGAGGGGCCTGGTCCCCTCCAAGGCTCGGGAAGGCAGGCTGCCACCAGCCCTGCCAGCGTGGGTGGCCTGTGGCTTGCTGAAGCCTGGAGTCCCTACGGCCCAAACGGCAGCTGCACCTGCTGTCTGGGTTCAGGCCTCAAGCTCGCCGGAGAGGACGACCCAGTGGTCAAGAACACAGACCACCCTGCCTTGCCAGTTGCCCGATGGGTGGTGCCCTTGGGCGTTACTTAAACCCAACGTGCCTCAGTTTCTCCATCTGTAAAACTAGGGTCGTACCCAACACCTAGGGTTGTTGGTAGAATTTGATGAACTGTTCATAAAGCGCTTAGGATGGCACATGACATAAGTGTTCGGCGGGACATCCTCATCCCTCTGACTCTCGGGTCCAGGACAGGCCAGCTGCCCTTCGGGCCCAGATCCTACAGGAGGGCTCACGTCACCCCCGCCAGGCCTAAAGGTGCTGCAGGTGGGCACGTGGGCCGGGAAAGGAGCACGCAGCGGGACCAGAGGCCCCTCCTGGGTCTCTCCCACGGCCACAGCAGGTCTAAATGTGTCTCGGAGAGATGGAGGCGTCACACCCGGGGCAGGACAATGCCCCAGGCATCACAGCGTGTGCAGGGCCCCGGGCTCCGCGCCCTAAATGCCCGCAACGCCCCGCAGTCACCGTCACCGGCACAGACGCCCCCGCACGGCTCCCTGTCCCGTCTGCCAGGTCCCGGGAGAGCAGCTGTGGCCAGAAGGGAATGCGCGGGCGGCGCTCAGGCACCCGGCACAGGTGGCCGGGCCGCTCTCCCGGCCACACCCCCTCACCCAGATACAGATCTGCTGGCAGCGCCCTCCTCTTGGAATACAAAGGACAGTGACACACACACACAAACCCTTGTCTGGCTGTTCCACGCTTCCTTGGGAAGCCCCAGCCCCAGGTGGGACGGATGGATGGGAACATTCCAGAGGCTGGAAGCTCGTGGTGCGGGGGCAGAGCTGACCGCTCAGCCTGGGCTCGAGCTGGGCTGGCCAGGCAGGTGGAGCCAGGGTGTGCCCAGAGAGACGCTTGGGAGACCAGGGGGGCTCCGGGGCACACCTGGAACCGTGATCCAAGGCGGGGCAGGGAACTCTGTCTGTAGCCAGGAGCCCCCGGCCGGTCCCTGCTCTGCTGCCCTCCTGCCGGTGACGTAGGGCTTGCAACTCGCCCGTCCGTCCGTCCGTCCATCTTCCTTCTCCCCCTCATTCTGGGAGAAGTGCGGGGTTAACCCCACACCGAACGCTCCCTCTCTCCCTGTTCCCCCGGAAGCCGGGAGGCTCTCAGGGTCAGCCCCTCGCTTTGCGGGCAGGGAGCCAGAACCAGAGGGCGACTGGACCCCAAGGGGAAGCCGCACAAGCCCCAGACCCAGGGCCTCAAAGAGCTGAAAATAGCCAGTATCCCCCCGAGAGAGCCACGCAGTCTGGAGGGCCCCCCCTAAACTGGAAAAGCTCCTGTTTTCACAAGATCACTGGACAGAACAGTAACTAACCAGTCAGGAGGAGGCGGTGTCCCTCTGTCTTTCCACCTGAGAGTCCTTTCCGACTCCCCCTTTCCACCCCCACTGCCCAGGCTGTGACAGCTCACTGCCGGGCAACCCACCGGCCCCCACCAGCCCCCACCCAGCCCCCACCCAGCCCCCGGGGGCTCTGGTCCCTGCCTGGCAACGCCGCCACCTCGACCTTCCTCAAGCGGGGCTGTCATTGGCCCATACAGTGCCGGAGAGCCCACCTGGCCACACCTGCCTGGCCAGCCGTCTCTTCCCTCCCCTGTGTGCAGCGCTCCGCGTCCCCACGACCTCAGCCATTTCCTGCCTCCCTGCTTCTGCTCAGACCCTTCTCCACGCTGCATAGCTTTCCTCGCCTGCCCCCTCCCGATCCCACATTTCTCGAGGCCCCCTCTGTAACCTGTCACCTCTACAGAGCCTCCGACCCCAGACACCAGGAATGCCCAGAGTGGGAATTACCCACCCCGACACCTGGGGCCTGTGGTCTTGCTCGTTCTGCGGTTGCTAAGGCAGGTTTCTGTCACCACCCTACGCTCTGCAGGGCACAGGTGCCCCTTGCTGTGCCCGGAACAGGCCGGGCTGCCAGCAGGGGCTCAGTGGAGGGGCGCCGTGCTGTGGGGACGTGTGCGGGGGAAGGGGGTGCAGGCCGCCCACCGGCACTGGGTCCCATGGGCCCCGGGGGACAGGGGAGCCACCCTAAGCCAAGCGGGCTGCCGGGAAGGCAGGGCCACCCTAGGCAGGGCGAGCCAGTCTGTGCAGGGCGGTCCAGAAGGCTTCCCGTCCCCCTCGCTGGACCTGCGGGACGGCAGCTGGCCGGCTGCGCCCAGGGAGCTCCCCTGGAGCGCGGGCTGACCGGGCAGAGCTGCCCGGCTCCTTGGGAGCCAGGTATGTGCCGGGCTGGCCGAGATGAAAAGAGTGTCTGTGTCCCCAGCTATTAGCCCGTTTTGAAACCAAGCTTCTGCCAGCAAGGCAGGGCGGCCAAACCGGCTCTCCGGCAGGACACACCCTGGGCTGCCCTGCGAGTCACACGCCCGGCAGCGCGTTCGTTTGCCGTCTTCAGCAACTCGGGCTCCCCACGCCCTTCTCGAGACAGTGTGTGCACACACGATTCCACGAGTCCTTGCGCCTCTGGGGCCGAGGGAGGGCTCTCCCAAGCAAGGACCCCGAGGACAGAGTCTGCTTGCCGCTCCTCATTCCGCACCCACGGGAGGGGCCTGGTGTAGCAGGCAGGTGGCAGCCCCGCCTCGTTTCACTGGGGGTCCGGTCAGGGGTCAGGACTGGGGGGCTGGA